TATATATATATAGACAAAGAGAGAGAAATTGGGGCTGAGATTAAGTTTTATATACTCACGTCGATACAATTTAAATCTTTTGGGTTGTGGTGATATGAGAGAGAGAGAGAGAGAGAGAGAGAGAGAGAGAGAGAGAGAGAGAATGGGATGCAAAGAGGTGGAATGTTTCCGTTTTTTTGGGCTCCTTGAACGCATTCATTCTATGTCTGTTGGTGACCAACCCGTCCCCAAAACTATCTCCGTCACTATTGTTTATCTCTGACTTTTGTCACTCTAAATGTTCCTGTACATTTATATAATATGCTCTTTCTGCTTAAGTACTTGGTTCTTTAGAAGAATCTCTTATAAACAAAGGCATTGATAGTATCAAAGAGATGGTGTTACAAAATACTATTACAAGTATGGTTACACGATATCATTGTGTTGTTTCGTCATCTGTGGAGTGTATAGATTATCAGCGTTTGTTTGGGCAATTGAGAAACTAAACCCTATTTTGGATTTTAAATTGAACCTTCGAGAATGGTAAACTTGTTCGTATTCTAATGAAGTAACGATAGTCTTCTACTAACTAGCAAAGAAAAAAACCTGCTTGGCTATTTTTGTGTCTGTCATGTTTATCATAATACAAAAGTATGTCATTTTCAACTAATAAAATACTTCACTCCAAAATGGTATTCAAATCAAACATCTGTACTGGAACTACATACTTTATCAACGGAAAGAACACAAAATTTTCGAGTGGATCACAGCATGACGGGGCCGTCAATGGAAGACCGTACAGACTCGGGCTGGTTTGAATTTAGTAATGGCGGCTCGAAACTACGGCGCCGTAACTCGTTCGACTTGTATGACTCGCCGTGAACAGATGTGAACGTGTTACTTGCAGGTTTTGAGAAATATGTCGTGGCAATATGGATCGCATGGGTGGATATTCCGCCAAATGTGTCATTGTTGATGAGTAATGCATCGTACAAGACTTCACGTATTGATAATAATAAACATGATGGAAAAACAAAGCAAAAAGAGACAGTCAAGGTCAAAATGTGATGTGGAACAGGGGACATAACTAAAATTATCAGTATTTTTGTAAGGAATGATCAGTTACTTCCCCTTTTCTACTTTAAATTTCGCACTTTGCCGCTCACAATGATATCGTTATAATTAATTTAGGGATGCCCCCCCCC